GTTTCACCATGTTGACCAGGATGGTCTCGATCTCTTGACCTCGTGATCCACCCGCCTCGGCCTCCCAAAGTGCTGGGATTACAGGCTTGAGCCACCGCGCCCGGCCTATAACTTGGTTTTTTTTTTGAGATGGAGTCTCACTCTGTTGCCCAGGCTGGAGTACAGTGGCACGATTTTGACTCACTGCAACCTCCACCCGCCATGTTCAAGGGATTCTCCTGCCTCAGCCTCCTGACTAGCTGGGACTACAGGTATCCACCACCACACCCAGCTAATTTTTATATTTTTAGTAGAGATGGGGTTTCGCCACATTGGCCAGGCTGGTCTCAAACTCAAGTTATCTACCTGCCTTGGCCTCCCAAAGTTCTGGGATTATAGATGTGAGCCACCGCACCAGGCCTAAAATAACTTATTCCTAAAAGTCCTCGACAGACTTCTTATTTGACCTGTCTCCTTTCTTCCCCCCACTTCCTTTCTCTCTCTCCCTTCCTTTTTTGCATCTATCCATCCCTCCATCACCGCCACCCATCCAAGCATCTATTACTCCCTCCTCCTAAATATTTACCAAGTGTCTTGTAAGTGCTAAGCACAGTGCTGGGCCCTGGAATACAGAAGTGGCCAAGACAGTCATAGTTTCTGCTCTCACAGATCTTACAGTCAAATAGTGAACAGGTAATAAGCAAGAAACTAAGTGCCGCGATGGGAAGGTAAACTGAGGCAGGCGCTCAAAAGAGAGGGCATCAAGTGAGTCTGGGGGAGGGGAGGAGAGGATTGGCTTCCTAGGAAGTGACACCTGAGGGCTGAGTAGGGCTTGCCAGGTGAGCACAGATTCCAGGGACAGGAGGGGAGGGGTGAAGGCTGGCAGGCTAGGGAGGAGCGTGCCTTCCGAGATGTGAATATGATCATAGCTGGTCCCAGGAGAAGGAAGGGTGAGAAATGGTGACTGCAACTTCGTGTTCTCTGGGAGAATGAACTCTTCAACAGACGGACAAGCAAGGCTTGTGAGAAAAGGGCTGAGCTTGCTTCCAAGCAAGATACAGCCTGGAGGGCACGTCCCTGCCTGCAGAGGAAGCAATGGTTATCAAACACTGCAGCAGCCCCCTGACTGCCAAACAAAAAAAGAGAGCCACATTTCACGTCTAGAACACTGATCTCAGTAAGTGCTAACTTTTTTTTTTTTTTTTTTGAGACAGAGTTTCGCTCTTGTTACCCAGGCTGGAGTGCAATGGCGCGATCTCGGCTCACCGCAACCTCCGCCTCCCGGGTTCAGGCAATTCTCCTGCCTCAGCCTCCCGAGTAGCTGGGACTACAGGCGCGCGCCACCATGCCCAGCTAATTTTTGTATTTTTAGTAGAGACGGGGTTTCACCATGTTGACCAGGATGGTCTTGATCTCTTGACCTCGTGATCCACTCGCCTCGGCCTCCCAAAGTACTGGGATTATAGGTGTGAGTCACCGCGCCCGGCCTAGCGCTAACTCTTTTTTAGGTAAGATGCACCCAGTAGGTATATTTCCTTCTTTTTATCCTTTCTTCAAATTGAGTCGGTGTTTCAAGCTTGCTTTCTCCATTAAAAGAAAAATAGAAAAACACCTTCACATTTGGGTAAGGAAACTCTCCAGCTGTTTTTTAATGACAGTTTCAAAATCTTAACGCTATCTCATTCTATTCTGTTTAACATTCAGGAAATAATTACCTTTCCTTTTTGAGGTCTCAGCACAATTCCTGGGAGGGTTGACTAATGAACTAAAGCACAGAGCCAAGAAACACTATTTGCAGTGCTTGTTTCTGGGGGAATCTCTGGGCAATTTACCTTGGCTCTTTCTGGTTATTTATAATAATATCCGATGCTAACTGCAGGGTGCTGCGCCTGAACAATGTATAAATACAATTATTCCTCTAACGCCTTTCATTATTAATTTCTACTGAGTAAAGCCAAAACGAGTTCTTAAGATTAATTAAAAGTAGAAGCCCCACTTACCTTTTTTAAGATGAAAATTCTGATGAGTACAAACAGCAGGCCAGACATCAAACCAGACAACAGTGGAGATATAAACCAAGAAGCAACTGAATAATTAAAAAAAAATCTAATGAATGTTAAAATTCATCCATAATTATGGTCATATTCATAGAACACAATGATAAACAAAATGTATTACATACATTCATAAATATCTCCAGAATTATTTACCTTTAATTCGGAACCTAACGCACCCTTGTGACTTGGCAGAGCTAACCTTTACTCATCTATGGCCACACTCAGACGCCAACACACAGTCAGGCACCGCTGACCACACTGCCAGTGCAGAGTTAAGGAACTCTGGCCCTGAGCTCTGGCCTCAGAAGGCAGCGTCCTGAGTGCTGCCACCCATGGAGTCTTTCTGCCTGCCCTTCTTATCAACACCTATGGAGACTCGGTCGCTGTTCCAACAGTAAGGGTTAAGAGCTGGGCCAACTTCCACTTCCTTTGCCAAGGTCAGCCTGGTACTTTCACTCCTGCCATCTAACTGCTGAAACTCGGAAACTTTTAGCCTCTAGCTAAGTGGCTCCCACCTCTGACTGCACAGTGGAACCATCTGGGGTGTTTTCAAAAACTAGTTTGGCTCTGTCTGGACCCCCAGAATTCTGATTTAAAAGGTTGGGAATGGGGTCTGGGCATTGGTATTTTAAAATCACTTTCCCAGCTCATTCTAAAGTGCCGCCAGAGTTGAGAACCACTCTTCTAGAAGCCTGGGGTGGAAGGTGGGTTCCCCTGTGGTCTGTGCCCTTGCCTGGCAGGTCAGGGGTCCAGTTTGACCCAGGACTCTTAAGGCCATCATGATTCTTGTAAAAAACCGAGTAACCCAGGAGATGGAGATGGAGTGAAAGAGTATCTTTCACAATGGATGGGTCGGTACTCGTGGAGTTGAATGGATTTACCTCTTGCTAAAAGCAGAGCCAGGCACTAACTTGTTGGACCCCTGCGAATAGGTACAGGCTTATGTGCTTGGTCCCTGCTGGGCAGGCTTACAAGGTAGAGAGGATACTCGGTAGAGTGTTTCTTCCCAAAGGGCAATCTGGATGACTTCTTTTCTTTTTCTTTCTTTCTTTTTTTTTTTTTTTTT